TTTTTTTGTTCCTTCTCTTGGGCTTTTTAGGTGTTCTGATCAAGTGTCCAAATCGAGTCTTTTGGACAGTTGAAGATTAAAGTTTGGTTCTAGGTTGGCGGAAAGTTTTGTGTTGAGGTAGGAGTTAGTCGTTGCTCAGGCTTGGAGAAGAAGAATGGAGCAAGATCCATCACAACTCCAAAGAGAGATAAGAGAATCGAGTTACTTTAACATTAGTACAGGGAAGCAGGAATGCGAGACGAGCTTATTGGGATGGATATATGGGGATAAAAGAGCCGATCTGGGAGGACTCGAAACTACTCTGCAAGCAATTTGGTTCATGCGAAAACCGTTTCAAACAAGGTTGATTGGGCATTGATAATTTGATCATTGTTCCTGTTCGGACAGTAACTACTAGATTTTTACAAGACCTAAATCAGACAAAGGGGAAAAAAGTATCTGTTGAAAAAACCATTGCTCAGGGTTAGGGAGACAAGAAAAACAAAAGAGAACAACCCTCAGCCTGAATCTCAGAGTAAGGAAATAGGATGGAACAGAACTAGGAAAAGAATGAGTGAGGAAGAAAACCCAAGATTCAAAAAGACAGAGAGCAAGCAAAAAAGTCAGATAGTTCAGTTCAAAATGGTGGAGGAAACCAGCTATAACTAGACATGTTCACGGGCCGAACTGGCCCGTGAACCGGCACTGGCCCGAACCGGGAACCCTAAGGGCCGGTTTGTTGAACCGGACCTGTAAGGTCGCGGTTCGGTCCCGGTTCCATTTTTTTTTATTTTGGTCCCGCCGGTCTGGGCAGGGCCGGGTCGGACGGCGGGCCAAATTGTTAAAATTTTTTGTTTTTTAAGGGTCGTCCCGGCCCGTGAACTGTCGGATTGGTTTTTAGCGGGCCAATCGTGGGCCGTGTGTTAGAGGGCCCGTGGCCCGGCGGGCCGGGCCGGGTCGGGCCTTGACCCGTTGACTGGTCACCACTATCTACAACTGGTCTCAAAGTTTTAAATGAAAGTTTGTATGTGTAATTATAGAGGTCTTTCAAAAACTTCTACAAAAATTAATATATTAGAAAACCATAAAACAATCATCTTGTTTTTATAAATCTGGAAAAAACTAACAAATTAAGTATTAAAAAAATGAATATTAAGAAATATTCAGAACATTACGTATCAATTTAAATAAATTATATATAGTGTTGGAATTTTTTTCTCACATAATAACGTAAAGAAAGTTGTTTTTAAAAAAAGTGAACAAATTTTAGATTGTGAATTATTTTAGAAAAATGTCACAATTAAAATGATTGTGATATAAAAATAATAAAATATTACTTTGATAAGATTGATAGTTGAGTATTTATAGTTGGATGAATGATATTCTATATTAGGAAATCTTTAATAAAATTATTTTTATTTTATTTTAATTGTACTATTGATATTTGGGTGGGTTATTTTTTTAAAAAAATATAAAAATCTGTGGCAAAAAATAAAAAAAAAAAAAAAAAAAATAATTGTGGAAAAAAATCAAACGGACGGATTCTGAAAATACGTGTTTCTAATTAAAATTTTTAACCGAAACACGGATTTTCAGAATCCGTTTTTGTTTTACATTTAATTTTTTTTAAAAAATGAAAGTCGAAACTGTCGGTGGATTTTAATATTAATACTGGACAACGCGGATTACCAAAATCCGTGTTACGTTTAAAAAAAAAAGAAAAACGATTAACACGGATTGTGAGAATCCGTGTTTTGGTCAATATATACAACTGCATACTGCTCCCCCGACCACAGAACATTCATCAATCCGAATTTTTTTTCTCACAAATCATTCATCAATCCGAATTTTTTTTCTTTTTTCTGTTCGATTTTTGAAGACAATCGGGGAAGAGGTTAGTT